ATCTCGAACTATATGAATTACAGGAAGACATGCAACTATCTATTAGTGTGTGAGAGATATTGAAAACATACTAAGACACTAAAGATAGTGAGATTCCACTAAATGAAAGAGGTAATGAGAGTGATCCTATTATCCTAGATGGTGGAAACTTACCTATAAATGACAATCTATCAGAAAATGAGGTTAGTCCTCAAGATCCGAGTTTGGAACATGAGATTAGTCCTCAGGTTCCAAATTTCATGCCAACAAGGGATAGTGGGAGAGATTTATTATCTAGTCATGCAGGTGATGAGGGTCCTAAAATTCGAAGGAATTAACATAGAAAAATTCTCCAGTGATATTTTCAAATTGAATGAGAAATTTTCCTTTACATTCTTTTAAAAATTGAGGAACCCACATCTTTTGAGGAGACTACGAATTCACCAAACAATAAATAGTGGATTCATGCCATAAGAGATGAGATGGACTTGATGGCAATAAATAAGATTTAGGAACTAATTGATCTCCCGCCTCAACATAAATCAATTGGAAATAAGTGGGTTTTTAAGATAAAACGTGGGGCGGATGGATCGAATAAAAATTTTAAGGCTCGACTAGTGGCAAAAGGTTTTACCCAAATTGAGGGTATAAACTATGAAGAGATTTTTTTTCATGTGGTGAGATTTTTCTCCACTCGTCTCATTCTAGTTTTGGTTGTCCATTTAGACTTGGAGTTGTTTTAAATGGATGTAAAAACTACTTTCCTCAATGGTACACTTAAGGAAGAGATATATATGAATCAACAATTAGATTTGTCTTAAAAAGTCAAGAAAATAAAGTTTGTCGTCTTAAAAGATCCATATATAGTCTCAAGTAGTCTTTCAGGTAATGGTATTTCAAATTCTATGAAACTATTACTTCATTTGGCTTGTCGATGGTAGATGAATACCATTGTGTGTATGAGAAAAAGAAGGGATTATGTTTCTCTCATCATGCGTTGATGACATACTATTGGCTAAAAGCAACATGGAGATGATCAATGCCACAAAGCAGTGGTTGTCTTCTGTTTTTAAGATGAAGGATATGGGTGAAGCTAGGTTTATCCTTGACATGGAAATAATGAGAGACTGTTCTAAGAAACTTCTAGAACTATGCTAGGAAGCATATATTAAAAAAGTCTTGGAACGATTTCAAATGCATTACTCCAAATTAGTTGACACTCCTATTGAGAATGGTCTAACCTTAAGTCTTAATCATTGCCCAAAGATAGATGATGAGAAAAAGAGCAATGTTCCTTATACTAGTGTAATAGGCAGTTTAATGTATGTCATATTGTATACACGGTTGGATATTTATTTTGTGGTTGGTTTAGTAAGTCGTTATCAAAACAACTCTGGACCTGCTCACTAACAAGCAGTGAGCCGGTTCAAAGAATCTTGCACTACCTTCGTAGTACCAGTGATCTAGTCCTCTGTCATCAAGGAGGAAAGTTAAGGTTGAAAAGATATTCAGATGCAGACTGGGATAACAAATTGGATGAGTTTAAGTTGACCTCAAGATATGTTTTTATTCTTCGTGGAGATGTTATGGCAAAATAAAATTGCATTACTTTATCTATAATGGAAGCAAAATATGTCGCTAGTTGTCTTGTTGTTTATGAGGCAATTTGGTTGAGAAACTTTCTGCAGGATCTCAATATAACCCCTAAAGTTTGATGAACCTGTAGAAATGCACTATGACAATACTATTGTTATCCAATATGCTAGATATCCAAAATTTCTTAAGAAAATCAGGCATATTAAGAGGTGGTATCACTTCGTTCGAGATGCCATCATAAAAAAAAAGGTTGTCATTAAGTATATTTCTACTAGCAAAATAGTTGTGAATCCTTCGACTAGGCCTATATTTAGAGATGTTTTTCAGGCTCATGTGAATAATATAGGTTTGTGTAGGCTTTAGTTCTCAATTAGGATTTGATATGTAATGGACATATATTTTTGTGTATTGAGCATTTATGAAATAAAAGTTGTTATTTTCTTATAAAATATTCATGAACACAATTACATGATTAGATACATAACAATGTCACCAGACTTTATGATCGACTTTATCACGCTGGTGATCTCCCTAATGTTTGAGTAAGAAGTAGGATAAGACTAAATCATATTAGTGTTAAGTATATGCAATATGTATGTACTTTTTATATTTGTGTTGTATTAATGACAAAATATTAAGGTTTTATAGTCATTTAAGTATGTCTAAGATGATATTCTAGAGAGTCAAGTATGAAATATACACGGTTTCATACTAAAGCCTTATAGCCGAATCTCAAGTGTCAGATTACGCTTGAGTATGTTGATCAAGTGGCTCGAGTTAGATACTTGAATAGAATCTAGACTTATGATTCACACAACATATAAGAGTGACATGCCCAACTTAACAAAAGTTGTGTTATGACATATATATCATACTGTATGTGTTATATGATGACCGATATAGGAAGTAACAAAATGATTCCCAGCTTTGTCATTGTGTGAAACCTATGGACTCTTGTGTCCTCCTTGTATGATACCCTTCGATTTAGAGCGATCACATGAAGTCAAGATTTGGTGTTGCTACTTTAATATCTTTATAAGGGCCACGATATATACAGTCCAGCAGAGCATGTTAGGAAAACAATCAAGTTGAGATAAATTATCACGAGTGTCTAAAAAAGAATATTTCTGATATCATCACATAAGTCCAGGTGGTTATATTTTGTATACAGCCAAGTAATATAATTATAGCATAGAGGGACAATGTATGCTAATGATGATATTCAAATGATTTGGGGTATTACAAATATGAAGTGTTGTATTAGTTAGATGGTGATTTACTATAACACTACTTATTACTTTTTAGTCACACGCCCTATTTTCTGTATGAAACGTGAGGATATGTTACTGTGGTAATATATATTTTGGTTAGTATGACTTATTTGGCTGATTGAGATACGTTGCATAATATTATGAACGCCCACAATAGCCACAAAGGGAGTTGTGGGCAGTTCCACTTCCTATTCAACGCCTTATTTTCTAGGGATGTAGATGAGTCAAATAACGACTCTTTGTGAGCCTATACAAAAAAAAAAAATTGCTATTGTTTATCAAGAGGTAGATTGCACCCAGTAAAACACGATATCATCGTTTTTTCTCTCACATTAAATCAGACAATTAATAGACTTATATTTTGGGGTGTAAATATTACCCGGTAATGTAATAGTATCTGAGAGAAGACAAAGATACTTAAGAGCTTCAACAAGGGGAATCATTCTCTGTGGGCAGTAAACAAGTATATGTTCATATTGCTTCGCAGTAAGGTTAATCCTAATTTCTCACAGTATGTATAACACTAGACTTCTCCGCCCATTAACTTTACATGTATATTTAAATTGTAATGATGTTAAAAATTCTAATCGGCTCGGATTTTAAATTAAAAATTTATTTCAATTTTTAAAATTTATTTAAAATAAATTATGTATTTTAAATTGAGAAATATCGGAAAATAATATATGTGGTGATAATTATGATTCAATTTTTTTTTTTTTCCAAAATTGAGGTAAATTGGATAATCATAGATCTAGAAATTCTAAATATCAAAAGGATTTATGAGCATCCAACATATATTTTTCAATGTCAAAATTATTATAAGCAAATTAAACCCAGTTATCTTATAATATTGCAAAATGTAACATAGCATTTTCATCTATCTAGAAATTACAATAGAATTGAAAATGACTTCTATGAACCAAATACTACCAAAAATTCTCGAGAAATCTTAGGTAAAAATGCATAATTTCTATTCTATAGATTTAATTTTGATTTAGATCTTTCTTGTGATTTTTTTTAAGTTTGCTGGCCTTGAATTGTGAAAGAGGGAGGACTCCTACGTCTCTTTCCATACCTTCTTTGTCAATACCATGTATTGGGGGGGGGGGGGGGGGGCAGTTGAAGTATCTCCACCACAACCATTGGTGGAGACCAGAGAGAGGTTAAGACTCTCCACAACTCAATGACCCCACCACCCGTCATCAAAGATACAATAGCTTGTCCAATTCAACCAATAAATTTGCAATTCTATTTTGCACCAAAAATTGCAAAAGTTTAGAAGGAGCAAACCATCATTCTGGACGGGAAAAAAAAAATGAAGGGGATTTTTACAACTTAATAAGTTGCATGCTTAAAACACATGTTTCAGAATTTACTTCTATTAAATTTCTATCAATAAATACAATATATATAAATTTTATTTTGTTAATGAAAATAAATATAATAAAAAAGTATAACTTAGGCAATGATTAAGAAAGCCATGAAACTTGTTTGAATTGCTCTGTTTTGCTGTCCTTACTGTCTGTTCCAGTAATCTTTAGCCACAACATGGCAGAACAAGTTGGAATTTTTATTGAGCCTGAAGCCACTGTTAAAATTTACAACTACAACAACAGCAACAACTTGTCTCTCCCTACAACATTCTCAATTCTCCTTCAAAAATAATGTTGGATTCGGAAAAGGGAAAAATATATATATATATATATATATATATATTGGTATTAAACGGCAACTGGTACTGCTTCATCGAGAGCGAGCACACCAGGGAGTTCCTTGCCTTCCAGCAGCTCCAAACTAGCACCACCACCGGTTGATATGTGGCTCATCACGTTAGCAACTCCTACCTTTTCTACAGCTGCAACTGAGTCTCCACCTCCAATGATTGTTGTCACTCCCTTCCCGCTAAGCTCTGCGAGTTTCTTTGCAATAGCCTGCAACAAAAGCCCCTCATTTCAATTCGTTATCGCCCCGGTAGCTAACATTTGAGAGGATGTTTCAAATTACCAAAAGAAATATACTTCTTATATAATAGGGTGCTTAAAGAAATATACAAATATTTTAGCTGTATGAGCGCTTAAAAGTAATTTATAAGTACTAAATAAGCAATCTCCTCGAAGCTTGTTTAACTTCTTGCTTACCTCTGTCCCAACAGCAAACTTGTCAAACTCAAAAACTCCCATTGGGCCATTCCAGATTATGGTCTGGGTAGTATCCAAAGCTTCGTTGAATGTCTTCACGGATTCTGGTCCGATGTCCAATCCCATCCACCCATCTGGGATGGCAGATGCAGCGACAACCTGCAATAATCAATTATTGAATGGGGATTAACCAATCAAATTTTTATGGATTAATCCCAATAGAAGAATTTGAGTAACAAACCTTGCTGTTAGCATCAGAAGCAAACTTGTCTGCAATGACAACATCAGTTGGTAGCAAAAGAGATACTCCTTTAGCCTTGGCCTTTTCAAGCAGAGATGTTGCCAGTTCAAGCTTATCTTCCTCTACCAAGGATGAACCAACTGAGAGGCCTTGTGCCTTGTAAAATGTGAAAATCATACCACCACCAAGTAATAGGATATCACACTTCTCCAGAAGCGATTCAATAACCCCAATCTTAGATGAGACCTTTGAACCACCTACAATGGCAGCAAATGGTCTCTTGGGGCTTGAAACTGCACCAACAAGGTAGTCTAGCTCCTGTAGCAACATAACAAGACAGTAATTCTGAGATCATCCTGTCCCATCCATAACAGTAAAAGATGCCTAAGAAAAGCAGTTATGAGTAATTTATTATGATCACTGAAGAAGACATGGGAATCTGACCTTCTGCAAAAGAAAACCAGCAACTGATGGCTTCAAGAACTTTGTTACCCCTTCAGTTGAGGCATGGGCTCTGTGAGCAGTTCCAAATGCATCATTAACATACAGATCAGCCAGAGATGCAAGCTTCTTAGCAAATTCTGGCTCATTCTTCTCTTCTTCCTTGTAAAACCTTACATTCTCAAGAAGAAGAACACCACCTTCAGGAAGAGAAGCAACTAGCTTTTCAACCTCAGGACCAATACAGTCATCAGCTTTCACTACCTGTCCACAACCACATAATCCGTCTTACATCACAGAAACATCAAAAAAATATAATGCTGAACCAGTTACCCGAATGCCAAGGAGTTCAGAAAGCCTAGGTACAAGAGGCGCCAAGCTGAATTTGGGAGTCACTCCCTTTGGTCTTCCCTGAAAAATTTTCAATCAAATACAAAATCATCTCAAATTGAATTCACTTGTAGGAAAATCCAGAAAATCAAAACCTAAAATCCCCAATGATCAACAGAACATCACCAGACCAAACCGATAAACTCAAACGCAAATCCATAGATAGTCAACATACCAAATGGCTCGACAGAATGACTTTGGCTCCCTTTTCAATCAAATGCTTGATAGTCGGAATCGCGGCCCTGACTCTTGTATCGTCTGTGATATTCTGGTTATCATCCAAAGGTACATTCAAGTCGGCTCTCACGAACACCTTCTTCCCTTTCAAGTCCGCCTCGGTCAAGTCGCCCACGCTCTTCTTGGCCATTGACACCACTCCTCTCGAGGCTTTTCTGCTCACAGATCGGACTTTGGAGGTCACATAGAGGGAGAAGAGTGGGTCTGCCACGGCGGAGAATCCAAGACGACGGACGGCAGAGAATCCACCATTGCGGGAGGTGGTGGCCGGCATGCGCAAGAGCGAGGCGCGGGTGCGACTAGTGACGTTGGAGGAACCAGAAGCGGTTGTAGATTTGAGGAGGGAGAGGGCAGTGCTTGTAGTTGCAGAGGCCATTTTGGTAGATAGAGGTATGAGTTTGTGCGGAGAGTGAGAGAGAGTGTAGAGAGATGGGAAGGTTTTTGTAGATGTGAAAATGGTTTTTGCAGAGAGAGAGAGAGAGAGAGAGAGAGAAGATGTGGAGGGGAAGAGCGATGAGAATGATTGGGCAATATGTAGAGGCTTCAGATTTTCTCTTATCGTTGAGGAGAGGTTGAAGATCGATTCTTTTTAAACTGTAAAGTTACAGTACAGAGAGACACTATGCTCCCTTCCGTGTTTGAAATAAAACTATTTTTTTATCATAAAAATGATACAATAATTGAGAAAATAATAAAATTATTTTTTATTTAAAAATTGTATCAAATTTATATCATTACATTCTATTATACTTTAAAAATAATAATAATTCAGTTATAAATAAATTTCGAATTTATTGTAAAAATAAACAATTTTCATTTTTTGGTAAGAACATTTTACACATTTTTACAGAATTAATAAAGTTTGAACCACATTATTTAATAATTTATTATATATTTTTAAACAGTATAAAATTTATTTTAACTATAATAAACTGAATTAATAATGTCTTAGTTAATGTGTTATTCTCTTATTACATTTTTTAAATTCAATAAATCCTACATTATATAAAACATGTTTTTTGCCTACTAATTCAATATTCTATTAATCTATATAGCACTATGATCATGCAAAGGTAGAAGTCAAAGTCAATTTCACAATTCGTTATTCTTACCAATTTTACCTCATACAATTCTTGATCAAATTTTTCATTCAGACCCAATGCGCTCTTGTTGTCATACAACAGATCGTGATTACTCTAATTAAATTTAAACATATTACTTCTGTATAAGTCAAAATAAATAAATATATTTTATCCTATTAAAATAAATGTACAATGTAGAGTTATAACACCATGAACATTATATGAAATATGACGTCTTTCTCTAATACGATAAGACTTTTGATAGCACATATAAATCTACACTCAATTAAACAAATCTAAAATGTATAATAAACTAAATAATATGCAGCATACATATTTAATTGAGATATTATAATGCACAACATATTCCATTAAAGCATATCAATTACTAATTATCAAAGTCACATCTAAGTCTTCCGCATCTTATTTTTCCACAATGGTGACTCCTAGTGCAATGAGTTATATATATAAGAATGGCGAGAATGATGCTACCTCGAGTGATTTCTCATACAAAACCCTCTCGTTATGTGTTTATTCTTAGGTTATGTATGATCCTATACTAAGTTGAGTCAATATTCTTAATATTCTAAATAAACTACACATATTTTATTTAGATAACATAATTTGCCCAATTTAATTATGTCTAAAGTTTTGGTTGAGCCAATTTTCAATAAACTATAACTTTGTATTAAATAAAAACCAATTAATTTTAA